AAGGCTCCCCTCGGCCACCCCTGGCTCCGCCCCTACCAAATCCAACCTAGGTGCATTAAATTTAAATTTCAGTAAGGGTTGAGTTAGGTTGGATAGTTTGGGCTTGCCCTCAAACTTGGGATGAGTTTCGGTTTTAGGCCCAATTCTTAGAATTAGGCTTGGGTTGAGTTAAAAAGTGGCCCAATTCACCCAATTTGCACCCCTAGCTCACACCTCACGAATGTGACAGATAAAGTATCACCAAACTTTACAATATAGAAAGATGGTTTACAAGTTTAGATTGACTCCCCATAGAGTGCACCCCACACATCCCAACCTTGCACCGAGAACATCTTTGGCTGTTCAGAGTTGGGATTTCCTCCCACACTCTTTCAACATGATCTGCATCTGGATGTCTAGGGGCGTCAATTGGATTGGGTTTGGTCCGATCTGGTTTATTCCAATGTGAGTCCATTACAAATGGACTTCGTCCAATCCACTCTAATGAATATTTTGGACCAGTCTAGAGACTGTCCAATTTGTTCAAATACCTGTTAATTTAGATTGGTTTCAACTCAAACCTGGTCCATTGACACCTATGTTCTTATCTTCTATCAATGGACCAGATATTAGCTCAACCCAATATAAATTCATTATGGATGGACAAGGTCCAATGCAATATACCATATTGGTCCGCCTGGTCCATCCAATCTGTTCAAATGGATTTTGATTTAGACGGAGTCCAACCCAAAACCGGTCCATTGAAACCCCTATGGATGTTAGCTTATTTCATAAGACTAAGAGCCATCATGCATGAGATGTGTGGGCATAAATCATGTTACACCAAGTTTGTGTCTCAGATCTCAAAAAATTGTGTTTCAATTTGTTTCAACATAATTTGTGTTTGCACATCTCATCACATCTCATACATGGTGGGTCTCAATCTTATGGTGAGATTTGTGGATGCAAATTCACAAAATCATGTTAAAGAGTGTTGGGATAGTTTTTTTGGGAGGATCAAATCTCAACTTCAGTTTGGGTCAAAAAAGAAAATGGAGGACAAGTACTCTTGCAATTTTACCCGATCCACACATCATCTCAATATGTCATGCCCAAAAACATTTTCAACAGCAAGGTTCAAAGTATCGACACGTATCAGCCGATACATATCATTCCGGGACCCCTCCGATATGCCCCTACAGTGGGTGTATTGGGGTTTTGACCAGTTCAGGGTGTGAAAGAGGCCTAAACCGGCTCCCCTAAACCAGTTGCGAAAAAAAAAAAAGTGCCAAAAGCTGTATCGATTCGCCCGATATGCCCATGCCGGCATATCGATATTTTGAACCTTATTCAACAGCCAAAGATTTTTGCTAATATTCAGTTTGAAAAGACTACAAACCTTGTATTTTATATTATTTTATATGTATTTATGTTGTACATATGGGGGCAGATCTGTTCACAACAAAATACTTTTCCAACATGATCCATGTATTCACATCTTAGTTGGAACGTGTTGAAAAAGTATTTTATTGTTAATAGATCCCAATACGTAGACATCCAATTGCCTATTTTTTTATTTTGCCTTAATTCATTTTCCTCATGGGATTAGTGAATTAGTGCCCTATGTTATTTTTTTTTCTTTTTCTAACACGAAATATTATATTTTATATTGGATTTTTTTAAAAGTATATTGAATTATTCAAGTGTTAGGGAATTTGATCTCCACTTTATACATTTATACATGGATAAATAATTAAAAAGGATGTTTTATATAAATAAAATGCACAATATATATGTGTTTAAGTTTAGATTAACCATCTATATATTGTAAATAACTAAACATATATTCTTAAAGGTGTATATAAGTGTAGATATTTGTGTAGTATGTTTCTTTTTTATTTTTTGGAAGGAAGTAATAAGCCTTAGTAACATAGAGATAGGGCTGTTTACGGGTCAGGTTGGGTCGGTTTATTGGGGTTTTCCCAACCGACCCGACCTGGTCAAGTTACCTGAGATGGAAATCGAAATCGACCCAGTGTTAAGCAAAACCGACCTGGTCGGTTTGAGTCGGGTTGGGTCAGTTTGGATCAGTTTCGGTTTTGCTCCTGTACAAAAAGGACATAGAAGCCTAGAAGGAAATATCTATTCTGAAAACTGAAGTTTTTAAGATATTTTATGGAAATATATTTAAAAAGTTAGAATTAGAATAGAAGACAAAAGTTATCAAGAAAATAGAAAGTCAAACTGTTTTATAGAAAGAAGGCTGGAATTTGTATATTTCAAGAAACTTTCTAAGTTCTAATCTAAGTAAAAAATGACACCTAATTCTAATTGTAATTGCCTAATTGGTTGTCTATTTGGTGTAAAAGACTATAGAAACTAGGATAGAGACAACTTATTTAAATAGGAACTAGAAGACTAGGTTAGGTTGTAATTAGGAATTAGGATAAAGGCAACTTAGTTAAGTAGGAACTAAGTTGGTTCGGTTTGGGTCAGTTTCGGTTTTCACACAAGAAAACCGAAACTGACCCGAACCATCAGTTTATGAATTTGTACAACCCGAAACCGGCTGGTACTTATGAAAACCCGGCCAACTCGGGTTGGGTCGGTTCGGGTTGGTCGGTTCGATCGGGTTGGGCCTTCTTATGAACAACCCTACTTGGGCAACTTTGTTCTCTTCTCGTTTGACACGAGTAACCGAAGAGAAAACCTCCAACGTCTAAAGCAAAGGATAAGCTCTCCTTGAAGAGCTAACATTTCGGTAAGTGTTTGGTTATGCGGGCGTTTATAGATGGGTATTTTTTGGATAAATGTTTAATTGAAAACATTATTTATTAGGTGTTTGGCATCGGTGCTAGGAATACTGTATCAATATTTTCTTATAAGAATGGTGTTGGGCATGAGAAAATTGTGCTTATTTTTTGTTTGGAATTGGTGCTGTCATTTATGTTGTTTTTTCAGAAAATAACAATGGTTTTGTTTGGAATTGGTGCTGTCATCCCCATCCTACAAACCAAACGGAGCCTTAAGTGTTTATTTGATAAATGTGAAACCAAGCAATGGTTTTTTCAATAAAGGCCCACACAACCAAACATAGCCTAGATTGGTCTCTTCTAAGCATGACAGTAGCAGGGGCCCGGCTAGAGGAGATAGAACCGTCCACATCATGGTTTTTAAAAACAAACCGATGATCGAACCGGTCAGGGGTCCGGTTACCGGTTCGAGCAGTCTGACCATTCGACCCGAACGGCCGGCCCGTTCTAACAAAAAATAAAAAAATAAAAAAAATGGAAAACGGTCAAAACCGTTCGAACAATTAACCGGCCGGTTCGGTGGTTTACTGACCAAAATCAACGATTTTGGAGGAAAAAACGGTTTTAAGGGAAAACAGAACCGGTCAGGTGATTGATTCCCAGTTTTTCCAATCCGACCATCCCGTCCGGTCCGGTTTTGAAAATCATGGTCCACATTAACTTTGATAAAACTGGAGGGTGGTTTCGTCCACGAGGCAGCCGACGGTACATCACAAAGGTGTTTGGTTGGGGCTGCAAGTCTGCAACTGGCAACCAGGAAGCAGAGAGCTCATGGAATTGACCAGACAAACAAACAACAATCTTCACTAAAAGGAGAAACCATAAACAGCATTGTCTTCGGAACGAAAAACAAAAAACAAAATACAACTCCCAGTTAACATGAATCACGAAGTGAAGACAATCCGACTCCAACAGAGTATATTTAAAATCAAAAGATTTCACAAAATAGATCCCTTCCAATTTCTAAATCCATATAAGCTTCTACCTGAAAGGCTGACATACTGCTACATTTAAATGCTTACATATTTGCCATCTGAATATCCAATAACTACACCAAAAGAGGAATCATTTTCTTTTCGGTGACTCCATCAATGGGGAGAGGTTCTAATGTTTCTGATAATCATTCAATTCATTGTGGGATGGTTTAACTTTAGACACCCTAAAGTCTCCGGCCATAATATGCTTGGGTTTTGCTCTAAAATCATCATTCAATCCAATCCCAAAGACACATATATAAATTGAAGAGAAAATAAAACTCAAGATAGGGTTAGAATCATTAAACCAACTGAGTGGTGGCTCGGTTGGTGTATGGACTAGATAGTCCCATAAGCGATGCGGTTTGGAGTCCTACCATATCCTCCCACCACCATACCTTTGAGAAGAATTGTAATTGTTGCCAAAAATGTGATATTATACTAAGTAGAAAAGAAATACTGCCTCTATGGGGGCAAAAAAAATTTTAAATTGACCATAAAATCAAAGCTACAGAAAATAAAAGGCTAACTAAGGATCAAGATGAAACTTGATTATGGGCCTATGTATTTTATGTACAAAACAATTAAACATTACATATATTTTATATATTTATGTCATATAAAATGTATATTAAATTTATTTTGTATATAATATAATATATGAATTATAACTATCTTATCATAATATTTATATAAAATATACAATATAACATAAAATAACATATATGCATTATATTTATACATTATTAATGTATAAATTACATACATTACCTCTAAATGTGTGGTTCAAAGTGGCTGGCTTTACACAATAAAATTTGGAACTCAAACTTTTATTGTAGGATTTGTCTTGAAAAATCTTGTATTGTTAGGGAGTGTTTGGCAACATGATTGGCCTGAACAAATAATCATAGTTTTCAAAACCGGACCGCACCGGACAGTCGAACCAAAAAAACCGGGAATTGGTTACTTGATTGTTCCGTTTCTCCAAAATCACATTTTTCCCCCAAAACCATTGATTTTGGTTAGTAAACCACTGAACCGGCTAATCAACCGTTCGAACGATTTTAACCGTTTTTAATTTTTTAAATTTTTTTTTTGTCAGAACAGATCAACTGTTCGAGTCGAACCGATAACCAAACCCCTAATCGATTCGGTCACCGGATCAGTTTTAAAAACCATGCAAATAACTACCACATAAGCAAAAACAATATAACTTTTAAAAACTAAACCAACCATAATCGAAAGCAAATGTGTCTCCTTAATTAATCGTTGTTCGGGATGTTGGACAAATTTAATTAATGCAATAGATTTATATAGATTTCTCTAACTTTTTTTTTACCTTTTCTTTCAAACCAAACATAACCTAAATGTAGCCCCACCTGAAAGAGCATTTATTAGATAGGTTGGTCCGTTTAAATCTTCATGATGGAACCTTTTTCTTTAATCGCTGAGCCTTTTTTACATACATGGGTCCATTCCATCCTCAGTCTTCACTCAAATAAGGCATATGGGTAAATAAAGATGCGCTCGGAGTTGGAGGTGACTCACTCCTCACACTAAACACTTGCATTGCAAGTCACGCCAACATCAAAAACTCTCATCCACTACCCATACGGAAAAAAGCAGACACTAAAGAAAGGAAAATGTTACCCTAAACGCCTCATTTGTCTCTCAAGAGATGAATGGATCAATCGGATAATTGACTAATTTTCCTGTATTAAATTTAAGGTTTTAAAAATCGATCCGACCGAAACTGCAATCGCTTTAATCACCGGTTTTTGGGTCAACAGTTTGATCGTTTAAATCAAATTGATGGTCCATTCTAACTATTGGAATGATTGCATAGACGATTCTCAGGCCAAACGGTCCAATTGCCAGTATTCGGTCCAATTGTCTGGGTCTCAATGTCTCATGAAAAAAGTTATTTTCTACGTAATCGAGATAACTCTAAGGTTTTTAAAATCAAATCGGAGTCCAGTTTTCAGATCTGATCATTCAAACTGAACGAATAGCTCATTTTGACAAAAAATAAAAAATAAACAGTCAAAACTGTTGGATGATTCAAATGGTTTGATGTCAAAGTCATTAGTTTGCTGACCAAATTAATGATTTTGGGGTAAAATGGAACGGTCACTTGACCGGTTCCTGGTTTTTCCGGTCCAATTTTAAAAACCATGAATAACTCTTACCTTAGAATCAGTTTGTCTGAATAAGTGCATTACCCAAATACCGAAACTTTGGCTGACAAAAAAAATACCGAAACTTAAATACGAACTGGTTCCAATTCCTGATTCAAGGTCCAACAATCAGAATCAATGTTTTAATAAATGACCTGGAACCGAAATTGTTCTGGCTACCAGTTTCTGGGTTAATAGTTCAACCATCTGGTCTGAACAAACCTGTTCTAATAAAAAATAAAAAAAATAATTAAAATAAAAATGACCAAAACCGTTAAACAGGTTGATGATTCGACCATCCAAGTCAATGAATCATTAACGAATTCAATGGTTTTTAGTCAGAAACTAGGTTTGAGGTAAAACAAAATGGATTGTTTGGACGGTTTCCAAATCGAACGTTCCGACTGTTCGAATCAACGGCGATTCGAAGACCATGACCAGAATATCCCGTGCTTCCCTTTAAAGTAGGGGCAATTTCGACAATGTCCATGAAATAATTGATCAGACTTCAGAGAGACACGTGCTAGCGGTAGCACAAAACAAGGAAATCTCGTGACTCAATCATACACCACGCATTCGTCCTGAAATTTTTAAAAACCCGAGCTTGCTTTCTTACTTGTTAAATTTAATGCAGCGCTGGTAATTGGTAAAACAGCAATTACTGGTGTCACAGTAGCTAATAAAAGATAAAACAAACTAGTCCCCAAATTAGATAACCCTTTTCCAACCGTAAGTCTGTAGTCTGTAATGTAATGGTCGCTGGGTTGTTAATGGAGTATCTGCTTACAATGAGTTCGACTCACCAAAACCCAAAATTGAATAAAGAAAAGTTGATTCATCAAGAATTCAAGATGACCAAGGAAGGAAAATAATCAGAATAGTTGATCCCAGCTCAATACTTGAAAATTTTAACGATAGGAATTTAGGAATAGGTGAAGTGGCCATCAGCTATTCTGTAGGCTGTAACCCATATAAATTTGAACTGATCAAGATGGGTGGTGAAATGATGCACAGCCAGCTATTATAATGATCCAAGGGTTGTGATCATCCCCATCTGGCGATTTGTATGTCTCTGCAATTGGATTTTCTGTTTTTTTTTTTTTTGGTTGTGTGAATTGTGTCAACTGTCAAAAATAAATAAGGTGAAGTTTCTACCCGTCTGTATAGTTTATGGATGAAATGATTTGGCCACGTTATAAGGGGCAGAGAAGCGAAATCCGGGCATTGGTCTTCTAGCAGATGCTGCAGAATCTCTGTTTGCAGGCGCAGACAAGTGTTTCTCTTATTATTAACTTTTTCAGTTCTTTCTCACTCACATTGATGAGGAAACTCTGATCTGGAGGAAATTGGAAAAATGTTAGTTGAGAAGGGAATTTTTTCACTTACTAAACAAGTTTTTTGGGTCAACTATGGTAACCTGATTGTTGGTTGTGGATCAGGTTCAGGTTGCAGTGGGACTTTGACTAGGTTCCGAGGAGAAACGAGGAAGCACAACGTAAGAAAACGCTGGGTTTTGGCAACGCAGATGATAAATGGAGGTGGGGTTCCTAATGATCGATTCCCTTTCCCGTTCTTTTAAAGCTCTGTCGCCTTAATTTTCACATCTGTTTCACGGGTTCTTTCTGTCTCAGAGAAAAGATGATGGAAGGAGAAGATGGTTTGAAAACTGTAGAGTGTTTAAGGGGAAGATTACTTGCCGAGAGAGTAGCTTCAAGAGTAGCAAAGGAAGATGCAGAGCTCATGGGGAACAAGGTCTGTTCTTCTTTCTTTGTTTTCTTTTTAAATTTCTTTTTTTCCTCCTTATATTATTTCTGCAATTCTTGGGTTTTTTTTTAACTGCTCGCTTTGTTGCATTAAAGGACAAAATGGGGTATCTGTTTGCCTTTAATAGATGTTCAATACGTCGAAATTTTGATCGATTTTGGTTTCTTTTTATTTATCTCTATATTCTCTTTTTCATTTTAAAATTTTCTTTTTCTGCTGCAACAGGTGATAGAGATGGAAAGAAAAATACGGATAGAGATCAAATCCAGGAATAGAGCCGAAAAGAAGCTGAAATTCCTCGTGAAGAAGGTGGAATCCCTGAAACTTTCGCATGTTTTTCTAGACCAGTGCAGTTCATCAGAAACTGGTGAAGATTCGGGCGGTTCATCCAAGAACTCCTCGGGACTCAAGGAGCCAGAGTCGGTGAAATGTGGCATAGAAGAAGAGAGATCAACAACTTCAGGAAATCCCAGAAATGGCGACCCAGAATCCAATGTGACAAAACCGTGTCATGGTGGAAGTTCTAATTCAGTGGGTAGTGCTCATCCCTCAGAACAACCGAGCAGCAGCAGCGTTGATGAAGGTCCTTCCTCAGAACAACCGAGCCAAATCGAAGACAGAAGTTCTGACGAGCCAGTGACAGATGGTCTCAGGTATCTGAATGCAAAGTATTCAAACCCATTACTCTGTTCTAGGAATCGGACAGACAAATTAGGACTGAAATTTACTGATGACTGTGTGTGACATCTTTCAAGCAGAGAAGCTCCAACACCAGGTGAAAGGGAATCGAATGGAGAAAACAATCCAGTACTGGAGGACGTGGATAACACGCTTGCATTAGTCCCAGTTAGTTCATGGCCAGCCTCACAAACCTCTGAACCGAAGATCATTAACGACCATAATGTCCGCGATGTGCTTGCTGCTCTAAGACATGCCAGAGAACAACTTGAGAACTCAATTCATTCTCGTTCCGTTGATCTGTGTAGAAGAGTATGAGAAATGTGGTTATCGTTGGTAATTCTTAGTGGTTTTACAGCAAGAGATGGGGAAATCCGCCTCATTTTTAGTATTAGGTTACAAAATTCTTCTCATGGGCTTCATTCATTTTTAAATGAAAAATCAGTTGTCTTGTTTGCTTTCGTTCTTTAAACAACTTTTATGCGGGCGGTCATAAACATTCACCACCAGTAAACATATTTTGGAGACCTAGGCCAGTGATTTATGGCCAATACATTTTGTTTTATAACAGTATTTTCTCATTCTAACCAATTTTTATTCATTTTAGAATTTCATCTCAGAATAAGAATAAGAGTTTAACAAAACGTGGCGTCAATAACTCTCCTCAATGGCAAGTCTGTAGATGAGACCCGAAGAAAATGAAAATACCTAGAGCTGGTTTGTCCTTTTCTTCCTTCAATAGAGCCAATGGTCCACTAAAGACGAAGACTAGACGAACTATTTGTTCAGGTTGCTAACAAGAATAGACAAAGGTGGTGGTACCAAGATTTTAAGGCGCTAAGCCATTGTCAAGAAAACTCCAATGGTTATGGTTGAATGGAATTGGTTTATGTATGCTACAGGCTCAGTGTTAAATTCATCTCATTCCTGGTTATGTTCTCCTCTACTTCATCGCGTTTGGCAACTTGGCAAGCACGCTGTCAGCTTTGATTTACTTGCATAAAAATATGAGAAACTTCGATATGTGTTTTTCTTGTTGCTAATTCCCAAAACAAAAGAAAACAAACTCAGTTGGTTCTTAAAACAAAGACAGAATATTTTTATTTTTTGTTTTGACAAAGACACAACATTTTCTTGGTTGTGTATGTATTTTTAAAAATGATGTTCTTTATTTACTGGTTTAAAGAGCTGTCTGTTTTCATATAGTTAATATCATGTTCGTAAATCATATATTTTCCATACTGAGAAGTTTTTTTTTTTTTTTGTTTCAAAAAAACATTATTTTGATGATTTCAGAAACATGTATTACTTTTTTTTTTTTGAAATAGAACCAATTTAGAGCAGATTTCTTAAATTATCTCTATCTCTACTGTTTAGTTATATCTATGCTCTTTACATATTAATTAAAGTACCTCCAAGTTTTTTTGACAATTGTCTAAAACCTCCCTTGCCATTAATTTTGCGTTACACCCCATTCACATATGATATCACATGAGTGGTATATTTTTGAGAATCTCTAAAATACCCTTTTGAAAACCATCACACTCGTTCACAATGAAAATCCACTTCTATTCTGTGCGTCGCCGTCTCTAGCTTTGATTCCGTCTCCGTCTCCGACTCCAACTCCAACTCTAAATCCATCTCTGTCTCATCATCGTCTCCAATTCCATGTCCCTCTTCGACAAGTTCTCTGAACTCATTCCTTTTTTTCTAATGTACACAAAATGCAAAACCAAAAAGTTGTAATCATTTAAAACGGGAAAATAAACATTGGCTAGAGTGATATGGAAGCACCATCCTAGCGATCACCTATCCATCTCCAGCACAACGACACTACCAGCGGACCCCTCCACATCCAGCCTCTCTCTCCCCCTTCGTTCTCTCTCCCTCTTTCCCTTGTTTCATCAAGTTGCAGCAACAACGGGAAATCGTGAAAAATCATCCGAGGTTCCCATTCGTTCACCCAGGTACATGCAGAAAATTATTTCATCATTCACGGGTAGATTAAGCAAATTATTTTCTAAATCTATGAGTCATATTCCATGACTTTCCAAGAGGGGCAGAGGGTTTTGAGCTCATGGCTAGGTTCTACTATAAAAATGGCAGAATGGATTAGATTTTGAAATGAATACACAAATAAATAAAGAGAGAAAAAAGTAAAAACATATTGATTTTTGCTTGCCTCAGAAAACCTTGAGGACAACATTCAAGGCTTTTCTTCTTTGATTGATGATTTTGTGCGTTTCTGTGTCTGTTATATTTTATCACTCATTTCCAACAAAACCATTATTGATTTCAGACCCATATCTTTGGCTCTTGTCATCCATAAGTCCACTTTTCTTTATCTCACGTATACCCAAGGCAGTTTTCATTCTCTATTGATTCTTGGATAAGAGTCGATTCAAGCTATGACTCTTAGATTGCTCTGCTAAATTCGTGGCAAATCTATTATTTCCTCTCCAGCTTAACCTGTGTAATTTCTATGATCAGAAAATCATTTCTGAGTTTGGAGGAGTGGGGTTTTCAGACCAGTTGTGATACCGGAGGTGAGGAACTTCCAATGCTGTTGATATTTGCAGACCAGTTGAAAAATGCCTAACATGCAGCTTAACTTTCTTGGCTTGGTGGTTTTCTGGTGTGGTTTCCCGGTGGGATGAAAGAAAACACGCTTTCTCATCTCTTCATTGAAGGTTTTAAGGGAAACTTTGGTGATCTTCTGTCGCAGTTCCTGATCATTTTAAGGAACAGAGTCTAGATGTGTGAGGTTTGTGAACAAACTTCTGATGAGTGTTACCTGCAAAACCGGTGTGGTTGCTCTCCACCCAGTGTGGGATCGTTTCAACTAGATGCGGTGAGGAAGAGAGAATGACTTAAGGGCAAAACAAACATTTTCATCTCTTCGATTATGATTTAACGATCACGGTAATTGTCCAAAATAGTAGAGGTAGTGTAAGATAATAGTTAAACAATAGCAGGGGTATAATTAGTCAATTAACTAAATCATAAGGGTAGTTTAAGAAATTTGCCCATCAACTTATTTTTAAGGAAAAATTCCCAATTAGTATCTTGTATTTTAGGCTTAGTGCCACTTTGGTCCTCGAACTTTAAAATTCAAGAATTCAATACCTGAATTTTCAAAACGTGTCAATCCAATACCTACCATTAACCAGCCGTTAAGTGGCATTTGAAAAGACACAAATGCCTAGTGACCTCAACCTTCTTGAATAAAAGAAGTAAGGATTTGGGTCTGTTCATTTTTTTGTCAACGTTTGGATGGTTGATAAAGAGAATTAGATGACAATCAAAGGGCATTTTTGTCTTTTCAAATGACACTTAATGGTTGGTTAAAGGCAAGTACTAGATTGGCATGTTTTGAAAGTTTGAATACTAAATTATCACATTTTAAAGTTTGGGGACTAAAATGACACTAGGCCCAAAGTAGAGGGTACTAATCGGAAATTTTCCATATTTTTAATTTTCAAAAGGAAAACACAGTTCAAGAGCATGCTTTTGAGTCTGGGTCTACTGACCACACTTGTATGACCACATAGCTGACCACCGCATGAGAAGATAACACCTGTCCATACACGCAAAACACTTTGGCATGTGTGGGGAACTAATGGAGAGGTGTTAAGCCCCACCGTTAGCTCTCAAAAAAATTTCAAAAATAGTTTTCTCTCTTCTTCATCCCTGAACCCCGTCTTTGTCTTCAAATATTGTTCATCTTTGAAATCTTAATCACCATTTCCTCATTTCTCCTTGATTATTGTTTGAACCTCGTTCTCTCTCTACGTCTCTAAACTTTTCTCTCTTTATCTATGAACATTGTTCACTGTTTAAAATTTTAAAACCCTAATCACTTCTCTGAACCTTATCTTCCCTAATTTAATATTTTATATCACTTGATGGTTTCATATTGATTTCATCGAAGTGCTCTCTAACTTTACATTTTGGAATGTTCTGTTTTCATTGCTTTTCAAGCTTTTTTTACTATCAAACGCTTGGACCACCTGTCTACTATTTGAAGTCTTCCCCTTCCAAAATTTGAATGAGCCCAAACTTTTCAAGCTTTTCCTTTACCCTTTCACCATAATGACCCCCTTAGTAGGAGCAAAAATCATTTTTTTCCCTAATTGTTACTTTGATTATAAGATTGCATTACTTTGTTAATCTTTTTTATATTTATATTTTTAGATGTTTAAATGTGTCATTATTTTTTTCATTAATGACAGGGTAGTCAAAGAGAGAATGGAGATTGGGCCACACTCCATGTGAAGGTTGGTTTTTGAAGTAGATGGAAATGAACAACAACATGTTGACATAGCTAATGATGCACTTGAGGTAAATGATTTACATGCCATAAATGAATTAGCTATGCCTATTGAGTTAGATAAAGAAAATGCTTTTGTTGATGATTTACCAAAATTTGAACAAAAGGATTTTGATGCAAGTATTCAGTATAAATTAAAAAAAAAAAAGCCCTCCTTCCTAAAGAGTGGATCCCAAAGGTTGGCATGGTATTTACAGAAGAAGAAGAAGCTTATGAATTTTGTAATAGATATGTGGGACATGTGGGATTTAGTGTGCGGAAAGCTAATAGCCTACGATGCCCTAAGACTCGGGAAGTGAGGTTTAGAAAGTTTTGTTGTTGTAGAGAAGGAAAACGTGTTGAGGATAAACATAGGACCAATGTCAAGCAACATCGAGTAGAGACAAGATGTGGTTGTATGGAAAATATGAAAATTAGTCCTCACAAAGATGGTTGCTATTATGTGATTGCCTTTAATGAGACTCATAATCATATAATTGCAACTCCCAAGAAGAAGCACATGTCGATATCACAAAGAAAGATGACTGAGTCACAAGCTACTCAAGTTAGAAATGCAGATGATTCGGGAATAACTCCAAAAGCATCAATTGAATTGATGGCCACTGAAGCTGGTGGTCATGAAAATATTGGTTTCACTCTGTAGATTTAAAGAATTACTTACATTCATATCAAATTGGAAAAATGGAGAAGGGAGAAGCAGGAGGTGTTCTACAATATTTTGGAAATATATAGTCAGAAGACCCATCTTTTGCCTATGCAATACAATTGGACCAAGCTGAGCTAGTTACAAATCTATTTTGGGCAGATGCACAAATAATAGTGGATTATGGTCATTTTGGTGATGTGATATACTTTGATACAACATATAGAACAAACAAGGAAAATCGACCATTTTCATTATTTGTCGGGTTAAATAAGTATAAGCAAATAATCATTTTTAGTACTGCATTATTATATGATGAATCAACAGAGACATTTGAGTGGTTGTTTAAGGTGTTTATCAAAACAATGGGAGGAAAAAAACCAAAAACAATTGTAACTGATGATGCTTCAGCAATGGCTAAAGCAATCAATTTGGTGTTGCTAGAATCACACCATCGGTTATGTGTTTAGCATATGTTCCAA